AAAAATGTGATCAAGTGTCATGGAGTTTGTAGTCTCTCAGTGCAGGAGCGGAGGATGAGAGCGTGTGGGAGGAGCTAGAGCAGTAAATATAAATGAACTGACAGATCCAGAGAGAACCAGGGGACAAATGAGAGTCCATAGAAAGAGATGAGGTGGAAGTGAAAAAATACAATAGAAAGAAATGCAATAAAAAATTAAGCCCAAAAGGAATTGGTATTGCTCAGAGGTTGCCCTTTCATAGCTCAAGAGATTTAAAAGAACATTTCACTCAAAAATGAAAATCCTGTCATCATTTACTCACCATCATCTACTAAAACCATATGGGTTTCTTCAATGGAACATAAAGGAGACCTTGAAGACCGAAAAAACATAATATCAAAATAAATAAAAAAATAAAATTAAATAATAATCTACAATATAAAGTATGTTGTGCCTTTAATGCTTTATACTAAGCAATTGTACTGCATTATTATTATTATTATTATTATTATTATTATTATTATTATTATTATTATTATTATTATTATTATTATTATTATTATTATTATTATTATTATTATTATTATTATTATTATTATTATTATTATTTTTTTTTTATTCTATTGGGACAATCCAGCCAGCAAAAAAAAATAAAATAAAATAAAAACATAAAATTCTGTATGAGATCCAAATTGTTTGGGTAATTATTTTAAAATATGACCCGTTTTATTTTCATTTTTGATAGGTTTACTAATTTTTTTCTTTTCTCACATTTTTATTATTTTTTGCTTCTTTTCTCTTTCTTAGTGTCTGTTTTTCTGTTGTTTTTATTATTATATTAATTATATTATATTACATAAAGCTTTTTTTTATTATTGCCTGTCTTGTCCATGCAATGATTCATATCGATTAATCATATTTAAGATGCAAAAATATGTCTGCTATGTGTGCTTTTTCTAAATATTTTTCAATTTTTAGTAATGGTTTCCATGTGCAAAGTGTGTGTGGTGTAAATTTGGATCTTCTTTCAGGGTCGTCAGTGTTAATAACGAGCTCTTGATTAACAGATGCAGCGTGATGTCTTTTAAGCATCATGTTTGTAACAGATTCTTCAGGCCATAACAACACTGAATAATCTAAGCATTTATGACAGTTCTGGTGAGCAAGTTTTAGGAACACAACCACACACAATACAGGTCTTTCATGGTTATTTATTTATACATCTTGGAGTCATATTTCAAATATATTTTTTCCTCTAAATTAGTTCATTACATGACAGAGAATATACAACATCCAGCACTACAAGTTGCTCTCTCACTTGTGCACCGGTATATCTAAAAACAAACAAATATACATACAAACGAAAAAAAAAAGAAAAAAAAAACAGAATCTCACTCTCTGGTCTGAACACTTTGCATACGGCAGAACAGCCAATCGGAGCTGCGCCGCCCACTAATGATCAATTCAACACCCACCGACATTCTTCAGCAGTGATGGGATTGGTTTTGTGAGTGTGTTTGGTGACTTTCACAGATGGATCTTCAGGTTTGGTCAAGGGATTTGCTGTTATATTTTATTGAATGCACAGGTGAATCAATAACACACAAAAACAAATCTGTCCAAAACAGGTTCTGCTCATATTTCAAAATTCAAAAAGTAAATAAAGTCTTATTTTATGGCAATTAAGTACATTTCCCTACCACATTCCCATTAATGCAAAAAAGTGTCATGCCTTTAATTAGTGCTTTGTTATGCTTTTGTTGTTGTATTTGTTGTATTTCATTATTTTTTACTGTATTACAGTAAGTGACAGTCAATATCAAGCAAAATAAGAATTACAAAAAATGAAACAAGATTATTACAATCAAATTAAAGTGCTCTTAAGTGTCATGGACGTCAAAATACAAAATTTAACAATAAAGCGCTACAAATCTAAAACAGGCATAATTATCTGTATGCTATTTTTTTCCTCATTATTTTAGAATGAAATGACCTGAATGTTCACCCATGTACTCGCAACAGATAATGCATAGCGCAGTAATCATAGTAGCTAGAAGCGCATGTGACAGTAAGATCCATAGTGAACTTTCACCAGTGCTTCAAATGGGAATCTACTGATGTCCTCCGGGAGGAACAGGAAATGGCCTTTCTCATGGTACATTCCACTTCTACTCACACCGATAATGCTACATGTGTTGTTATGCTTCATTCTCTGATCATATTTGAGTCATACATCAGCAGTCACTGGTAGTAGATGAACACACAAGTGACTCTGAAAAGTTACAAAAAACAATGTGTCAAACGTTCCAAATTGATTTCCCACTGGTAGCATATCAATCGATAATAAAGTCTCATTGGCCCCTGATCTTTATATACTAAATACGAATGCCACATTAAATATATTGCAACAAGATGTCTTCGACCCTCAGCCTGATGATGGCTTCAGAGAGTGGCTACATTCACATAGCAACACAATACAGATGTCAGTCCTGTATATAAAAAAAATAATAATTGTATAACCATAGAATGATACTTGCTGTTAAAGGGTTATTTCACCCAAAAATGAAAATTCTGTCATTAATTACTCACCCACGTGTTGTTCGAAACCCGTAAGACATTTGTTCATCTTCGGAACACAATTTAAGGTATTTTTGATGAAACTTATTCTCGTAGCTTCGTAACTTTACAGTTGAACCACTGATGTCACACGGACTACTTTGTCGATCATCTTGGTACTTTTTTGGACCTTGAACGTGGTAGCTACCTTGCTGTCTATGGGAGGGTCAGAGAGCCCTCAGATTGGTTTGGAACAACACGAGGGTGAGTAATTAATGACAGAATTTAAATTTTTGGGTGAACTAACCCTTTAAGTGTTTGGGAGGGGGAAAAATGCAAGGAAATTAACCAAACCACAGAATTTTTAAGGATGAAATCTTTCAGAATGTTCCAAAATGTCAAACATTTTATAACAAAAATTCAATTCTTAAAGATGCGTTCAAACTTTATATGTTCTGTTGTATTCGGTCATGTGAATGTAGTCAGTAAAAAAAGCCAGCATGGAATTTCCAGCCATCATTCACCAATTATACCAATCTACATATCCCTGGCTCTTCTGTGTTCATTTATTATATATTTTGGCTAATTTTACTATGCTGATATTCTTAAGCAAAGCACCTTAACACATCATGCCATATTTAAATCCATTCCATTGAATTTTGCACATTTACAATGCAAATAATCCTGGCCAGTAAGATTTCACATTCTAATTAAATTAACATTCACATTCATTTGCTCATCATCGGGGTGATGGTGCACTCTCTGTGCTATTTGAGCTTATAACAATTCGACATTGAATTGCATGATAAAACTTCATCTTAATCATATATTGCACAGTATTTAGATCCCTCCTTTGCCTCAAACCATAGTTGTAAATGCAGAGTTGTACACCAGATCCATTTAAATGAAACAATGAGATATGGTTTGAATACAAAACCAAAGATTAACACAAACAGTCACAGTCAAGGATGATGGCTTCTGGATAATATTGGGATGTCACCAAAGCACATGTAGGAATATCTAAAAGAAACAAAAGGAAACATTTGGAATACGTAATATACTATCCTGCAACGTAAAATGACAACCCTCCATTTATTGTTTCGCTCTCATTTTGCCTCTTGCATTAAATCTAATCGTTCGTCTCCTGTAGTAGGTCCTACTAAACTTAGCATGGATTATAAACGATAGCTGCTTATACATGACATGTAGTGAAGGCATTGTACAAGAGTTCAGAGCGTTTACGGTAACAAACATGAGGAACAGTATTACAGCCGCGGGAGTGTCTTTAACTGTAGGAGAACCTGGACTGGGGTTGAAGTACTCCAGGCCCTGTCCCTGTTACCTATGGAATTACCTGAGGAGCGAGTCTATGATAATCTCTTCAACAGCGACAGACGTATGCCACATTAGGATAAATATGAACTGGTTAAATATGAGCGTGAGCGAATATTACAAGCCGGAAAATCATTTTGCGCATTTTATGTTTGTAAACAGACTTACCTAAAAGCTCCACTGTGGATGGAACTACGAGTATGAGTAATACTAGAGCAAAGCAATTGAAATATATACTGAATACACGATTGCACCATTCATCTAAGCATACGCAAATCTGATAAAGGACACTCAAACAGAGGCACAAATGGTTCCTTCTTTTCGTCATATGCTCTTATTCTTCTGTGCCTGCCCTTCCCTTGCAGTGATGATAGATGTGATGAAACGTACTTGAGCTTTCAGAAAGGATCGAACACACACAGTCCTGGTAGTTTGCTTACACATCTGACAATCACATATTGCTACTGAACTCTAACCATGTGCTTAAATGTTATTTAACTTGATGTGACATATTTTAAAAAGAGTTCCAGGGAGGGTAGCGTACATTTCGAATCTTTTGAAGGTAAAATCATTCATAACATATTGCATCTGAATCTTAAACCATTGGCATCTGTGATTTATGCTGCGTTCCATTCAAAGTCAGATGTGGGATATTCCTACTTGGTATCTCTGACTTCCAAGCATGAAGGCGTTCCCCTCTCTAAAGTTTGGAAGATGATATATAAGAAAATAAAACGGCAATGCTACTGTTTGCTGTACAGATTTTGATTGTCAACAAAGAAGTCCCTAGCAGCCAAAGTTGAGCATTAATTATGCACCGCAGTACTAGCATTTGTTCTGCAGGTGTATGATTATCATCTTAGAGGATCATTTATCTGCAGACATTTGCTAAACAAGTTTTATCATCATTTAATGTAAGAACTTTGACCTATTGATGTATTTTATTTGCTTAAAAGTGCATCTCACCAAAAGGATTTTCAAGCTCAAGTGACTTCAAGTGGCATTCTATTGCAATTTTCCAAGTAGGAAGCTGGAAATTCCAACTTTCCGATGTAAATGGAATGCAGCATTACTGTAGGATGCTTCAATGAGGAACATCGTGACTTTTCACGTCAACACTGTTTGTTTGCCATCTCAAAACTTCCAAAATAAAATATGTCTGAAGTTTGTCAATGGCACCCCTTGAGGAGCTTGCACGCACATGCGATTTCTCTCTAACACTATGCAAAATGACATTCTTGATCATCAAAGCCAAGAGTGGAGTTTGTCTGTCCAGAGGCGTCCATCTGTTGGAGTCTATGTGCCCAAATAATATTCATTGCAGTCAGAGGTATGGTCCTATTGCTGAACGAGAACGACTGACCCAGTGAGTCAACACTCTCCCGGCAGTTTTATTGAAGCTAAAAGTGATCGTTCTCATAAGTTGTCCAAGTGCGTTATGGTTCTTGTAGATTGAGGGTGAGGTAACTGATGCTCTTCTGGTCCAAAGTTCACATTGTGTCGTTTTCGGGAATCGAACGAACTGAACGGCAATGCAGCAGTGACACACGGTTTCTGGTAAAGAAAGCCAAAGATCAAGAAGTGTACAACAAACCCAGACTGACGGGATACCAAGTAAAGGAACCAAAATAACAAAAAAAAAAAAAAAAGATATAAATTTGTGCTTCTTTAGTTTCACATAGTCATAGTCCTAGAAGTTGCAGTCGGAGTCCGTTTGTCCTTTCTGCAGCTTGATACTTTCCAATATATCATGTACACGTGCATGTACAGGTCCACTCAGGTCATTAGTAACTTCGTGACCACCTGTTTCACTCATCCGTTCCGGCTCTCGTTATTCCTTGCAATCTTAGTGTCTTAAGAAAATTACATCTCCATGCACTTGAGACTGTGGAAAGAGTAGTTCATTTGGGGAAAGGACGTCCTTGTTGCTCTTTCAGCCGTCTGTTCATCCTGTAAGCCCTCCGTCATCTTTGGTTATAATTGACACCTTGGTGTGTCAGATACATACACGGGTGACTGAGATGAAGATGTCAAGACATATGGACAGAAATGTACAAAATTAACGGAAATTATGCTTACATAAAACATAAAAGGTGCCACTTAGCAGATATAAGCTCAACAAGTGACCACAAAGATGACGAGAAACCAAATAAACAGTAGACTCGAATGGTAAGAGGAAGTGTGCAGCCGGGACAAAGGGCATGAGAAACAGGAGGAAATGGAGGAGGCAGTAGCAGGAAGGGTGGTCATGTTTTGGGGCAGTTCTTATTGCTGCCGTGGGGGCGTCCTACACTGGCGGTGTGTGTGCTGAAGGGTATCTGTATCATCTGAGGAGGAATGTCAGAAAGATGGTGCAGAGCAGCTGGACGATCACAGGAAGAAGGTGAAGACTCTGGTGTGTCCCAGACAGAACTGCTGTAAACATAAAGACAGGCACTCTATTACACAACAACAACTTTATTGTTGTGCATTTGTCACTTTGTATTGACAGAACAGTGGAAAATGGACATAAAAGTATTGTGGGAGTGAGTGGGATTCAAAGCTGCATCTCCTACATGAGCGTGACGGCTCCAGAAGAAATTGTTCAAAAGTTGCTCTCTGATAGTTCAGGAGACTTAATGGGGCTCTCCGCTATGTTGTACTGAAATATCTCAGATGTTTCTCCTAAATAATATGTATATTTATGCATATGGCAGATGCTTTTATCCAAGTTGCATTGCATTCAAGGAATATACATTTCTATCAGTCCAAGCATTCCCTGGGATTTGAACCCATGACCTTATTGTTGAGCTATAGGACTGCTTTGAATATGAAGCATCCATATGAAAACTGTTGTTCGGCAAGGTTAAAAAATCACCCCCCAAAAAATTGGCCAAATCATTTCCAAGGCACTTTTGATAGGGATTTTGTTGGTCACATTTTTTTTTGGTGTTTCGGGACAACACTTTACACAATTAAACTTTTGAATGCAACAATTCTACAAAAGCTCATTCCTGAGAAACCAATTGCTATTTTATTATATCTAAGTATTATATGTGGGAGGTACTAAAACCAACACTCTCTGAAAAAAAGTGCAAAAATTGGCATTTCTTTAGGGGTACAACAGCTTGTCACTGAGGCAGTACCCATAAAGGGAAAACCTTGTACCCCTATAAGATTCATGGTAGGACCTTAAAGGGATAGTTCACCCAGAATGAGTTTCTTTTCTTCTGTAGAACACGAAAGAAAATATTCTGAAGAATGCTAATATCCAAACAGTTGATGGTAGCCATTGACTTCCATAGGATTTTTTTTTCCATACTATGGAAGTCAAAGGCTACCATAAACTCTTTGGTTACCAACATTATTCAGAATATCTTCTTTTGTGCTCAACGGAAGAAAGAAACTCATACAGGTTTGGAACAACTTAAGGGTGAGTAAATGGTGATTGAATTTTCATTTTTGGGTAAACCAGTAGTACATATTACTACTCTATGGTACTAATATCCTTTTCAAGGGTACTGCCCCAGTGACAAGCTGTTGTAGCTGTAAAGGTACAACTTTTGCACATTATTTCTGACAGTGAATGTGACCTATGACTTGCATTTTATACAAACTGAGAGCTGTACATGTTGGTTCAAGTGACTGATTCAAGGCCTAAAGTATTGCAAATCTAATTCAGAATTGCTCCAAAATGGGGCAATTTACCTCAATATGTAGTTCATAAAATGCTCTTAAGAAAAACATCTCTTAACCTTAACCACACAACAGTTGCAGGGGCAGACCCCTTTTAGAAGGGAACTTGGGATGCTATCGTAAATGGTTTTGTGCTCCTGTTGAGCGTTTGGCACAAAGGAGCGCAGGACACTGAAATAATGGATCGGACAGATGGGGTTACAGCGGCTGGCATCATCATATGACTGAACCAGAGGCCATAAGCGGTAATATCTGTGAGCTACAGAAGACGGATGACCTGCGAGAGGACAATTACAAGTCATTATGTCTCAGAGGTAACGTTGAGTAATATCTTTCGGCACAGCTCACAGGAAATGGCCTCAGATGATGATGAGGGCTGGACCAAACATGCTTGCAGTGTTGTTTGAGAAGCAGACACACAACACATACACGTGTGCATTTAATTATGCATACAAGCTGCCAACAAAATAGGTTTAATAAATTAAGAGCAGGTATTGTATTAAAAAAATCAATATGAATTTATATCAAGGATTTCTCTGGCTATAGCAGGAAATCAATATATTCATAATAAAGCTTTTTATTCTTCCTTTTCAATAAAGAACGAGATTGTGTGAGCTGTGACATCTCTCTCAAGGACTTTTGAAGGAGGCGGGTAATTTTGAGAGTGGGTGTACCTGTGTGTGTGTGTGTGTGTGTGT